GGACTGGCACCTCGAGATTACCCCCAATGAGTAGAAAGGGACTGGTACATCTTTTTCTTTGGGAATAAAAGGGTGTGAAAACCATGTATAATAGAAACAACATAGCGAGTGCCACACACTCCATTTTTCCAATCAATCGAAACTCTGCAATCTAAGGGGGCATAGATAAAAAGTGAAGAAACAGATCAAGGTCATGCGTTGATCTAGCAAGCCAGTTTGAACACTTATTTGCTTCACTATAAACATGATCGGACACAATGTTACTGATACCTCACAAGGAAACCGCTGATATTTTCCCTCAAGTTTTCCATTGTACATCCTGCAATGTTATTCCTATTGATGTATTGACAGCCTCTGCTAAGTTGCTAGCAAGCACCAAATTGTGGAACGCTTCTTCCCAGCTAAAATGTCCTGAGGTTATCAGGTAGACATTCTTATGGATGGAAGTGAGATTTGATAACCTGGTTTGCTATAAGGTGAGAAGAGGGGAAAAATAAAAGGAATACCCTCTTGGTCGTTCTTCTCTATTGTATAATCAAACTTCATTTATATTATTGCATTCATGTTTGGGTACTTTTGGGATTTAATTTTTACTTGGAGGTCTCGCATGAAAAAAAGTTAAGGCAAACTAACTTGGCAAGTAAGTTTGGGCTCAAACCATCCGCCTCTCAGGTATAATACTTGAACATGAGGCTTTCGATCAATTAATGGGGGAATCCAACCATAAGTATGACAAATTGAAGTGTGATTCATCACTGTCAAAATGTCTGCAACCATGGTTGATAATTTGACTGCTGATGGTTGTATTCAAATTAAGGAAAAAAATTATCATTTTCTAAGGCTCTGGTTCAGTAAAAGTAAATAGGTAATCTTTCCCGAACTTCATAAAAGATTCAAATGCGACACTCACTCAATAAAGGCCTAGAATTTCAAATTAACCCTTAAACACTTAGTAAGGAGTAAGTATATTACTATAATGATCCGGAAGTCCTTTTACAAATGACAATTGAATTTATTAAGATAAACCTATATTTGCTATCATTTCATGCTGAAGATGAGAAGCGACAAAAACTAGAACCTAGCTATTCATACTTGAAAAAAAAAATACGAGGCAATATAAAGATGAGGAGCTCAAAAAACTACTTGAAAATACCTTATTTCTCTCATTTGCTGAAACAGTTCAGTTGAGTAGATGTTACATTCATCTGCAAAGTAAACAATTCCATCAAGTTGGTGAGTTTCAATATGAGCAAGTGCAACATTTCTTTGAAGAATGCTCCTATCACTTGTGTTGGTTAGATTTGTTTTGCAAACGAGATGCCTGTACATAACTCCACTACTCCTCAATATATCAGCTGTTTCTTCAGATTGGGAAGTCATTTCAACAACAATCCACAACAGAGGAGGTGGTACCAATTTTAGTGTGTATGCCAAGCGTCTCAAGTAATATGCTTGAAGTGGCTGATTGTATGTTGTGGTCACAATAATTAGAAGCTTCTGAGACTCCAAATATGGTTTCACATCGAGCAATTGGGTAGTAGATATATTATGTGCTATCTCGTCTATTAGCTCTCGTTCCTTCAAAGTTGGGTCCAAAGTAGCGTTAAACTTAATAGCCCCCTTGGCCGACGGTGGTGCATTTATCTTCACATCATCATATGGCTGAGAATTTCCAGCAGAAGATAACACCTCGAAAGAGAAGGCTTGATGCTTAGGCATTAAATTCAGGGACAAGTTCAATGAAGCAAGTGGGGTCAACCCAATAGAAACCCCAACCATGAAACAAATAAAGAAATGGAAAAGCACCGTCCTCCAAAGTTGGCCCTTTGACTTTGACCTCTCAAAAGCCCTTATAGATCTTGGTGAAAAAACAAAAACAAAGAACAAAGGCACGAGAATCCAATGGGTTGACTGTAGGAGTTAACAATCCAGTGGACGGCGGGCAGTTCTGAGGACTCGATGAAGATTTAGACAATGGAGAACCTACTGAACAGACTTCTCCAAGTGCTACAGTTCCAGCTCGAGGCACTGGAGACAGGGTTCTTCTAATGGATGCCATCAAAATAAATCCAAGTCAACGCTTAGTTCATAACTCCAAGTGGATCCTTGTTGAAGGTAAGTGAAGTACAATTAAGGAAGAAAGTATCTATTTCGATCATAAACTGCCTGTCCTTCCCATGAAAAAACAGCTGTTGTCACGACTAGTATGTGTTGCCGAGAATTCTAGGGAAACCAAGTTCCACCCAGCACGGTAACAAGAAAAGCTGAAATGAACATTACAAAAGTCGAACTGAGTGTAAAACATATCAGGAAAAATCCAATGTATGCGACACTTGCTTAATAAAGCATAAGGCAGTCCTCTAAAGCCATAGAAATCCGGTCCAATAAACTGCGCTCTCTGGATCAAATCAATTTATCTAACCACATTCCCAAACCCATTTCATAATGCAGCTACCTGGGCACGCCCCAAATTTGATATATTGAGTATCTACACAATTCTAATGATTTCCTGATCTAGAACGAAGAACAAGACAGTGAAGGTGTTCCAAAAAAGCATTCCAGGCATAACAGAAGCGCAGCATTAAGATAGCAATGTCCAAGATAAGATTTTATCACCATAACAATCACTACGAAATCTACTACACTTACCAAATCCTCAAACAAGCAGAACAGAATGGAACCAACTTCGAGTGCGATTCTTCGAGCTTAGTAGGCAAGCAATACCCAGTCTGAGAAAGCGCTGTACAGGCTCTGTCACAAAAACCAAGCTCTCGGAGGCACCGGTGAAGTTCAATGGCAACTACCCTTTGCTGGAGGGACCCATAGCCAGTTTGACGAACCGAAGAAAATCAGATTAACGATTGCGTGCTTTTGGGATCTGAAGTTAAAACTTAAAAGATTGAACCCCAGAAGGAAAATAAAAAAGGAAAGCGATGGTGAAACCTGACAGGACATCTAGTTTTCCCCTATCAAAAAAGAGCCTTACATAAGAAATAAATTTCCATTTTCTATCACGTGATCAACGGCCCGTCGGACTTTCTGATTGCGCGGGAAGTGCACAGTGCGGGAATCGCCCGCAAGAGAAACAACGAAATTTATCTTCGGCCCGAACGGGTAAATCGCACACTTCACGCAACTTTGTTTATAGTTCAATTTATCTTTCGTGAAACTGATGTCGTACTCTCTTTTCGTTATTTTGGATAACTAGATTGATCGACACTGTGAATCTCTTTTTCCAGTGAAAGTGGACATTTTTTATTTCTTAAGAAGTCCATTGAAAGAACCGAGTCGGGCATCGTTGCTCCAGTCCAGTCACCGCTTGCATTAACTAAATAGCTCCGTGTACGAAAATTCAAAATGCAGGCAGCACTGTAGCTGTCAAGGGTTAGGAGAAACTTTTTAAAAAATTACGAATTTAGCGTAATCAGGTCCCGAAAATTTATTAAAAAATAAATTATAAATATTAATTTAATTAATTGTAAATATGAGAAATTTGATTCTTGACAGCAGATAAGTATATTTAAATCTCATGGATCACTTGCAATTAGTTATTGTAACAATATTCAGTCTAATATTTACAACTCATTCACGCGATATTTATAACCTAATTTAGCAAAAAAATTTAAAATCTTACTATCATTAAATCAAAGTTCTTCTGGGACCTTTCAGATTTGATGCGGAAGGTGGAGAACCAAACCATGTTAATTATCGGAACTCCGGTTAACCTGAACCAGCTTGTATGCCTCTCTACTTTAAGGAATCGTGGACGCTGCGCTATGTTATATTGATATGAATGATGATGATTAGTGGTCATCTTCACTGAGTTTCTCAGGTAATGGATGGAGTCAGCACAGGCTCTAAAATGCGAGGATATATATGACGAAGCCAGAAAAATTAGATATACAGTGGGGGCAAATTTGTTACACAAGATGAATGTTAATTATTTTTTAAATGATTTAAAATTAAAGAAATTTATTTTTAAATTGTTTGTTCCCCCATTTATATATGATTATAAAATATAGATAAGATTTGAGTTAAATAAAATTTGTTTTCTTTTAGCACAGAGGGCAATCGAAAGAGTTTGAACTATCACTTGAATTTTTTTTTTTTTCTAGCTTTGTGAGGGCAATTGCCCATAAGCCATGACGTAGGTACGTCCCTGTATGTGTGTGTGTGTGTGGGCGTATACGCTGGGAAACTCTTGTGGTACTCTGAGGCGACGAATCTACATTTTTAAGCCTGAAAATGAAGTTGCATTTCAAATTAAAGCTATTTACATTCTAAACGGAACTGGAATGAAGGCTCACATGAGTCATGTGTCGTCACTAGATCACAGTGCTCGAAGATTGCTGAAAATACACGTGTTAAATGACTGCGCAGAGGAAATGAATTTGACCACAAGGTCAGAAATGCCAGATGACCTTGTAAAATATCATTGAGCGCGTCAAGTTACTCGTGAGTAAAGATTGGATTGTTACTCAGGGTTTCATGGAAGTGGGGGACCAGAATTATTATTATGTTTTCAAATAAAAATGAAGAAAATCAATCAAACCCTGCTTGCTCCCCTTGCATCAGTCCCTAATGTTACTGTTAATTATATATATATATATATATATATGCTCCCCATGAGCTATTCATGCTGCCCATTTTTTGGCAGATTGGATTGCTACTGTTGATCAAGTTACTCATTTGACTGTAAGCTATTCATGCTGCCCATATTTTTTGGCTATTTTTCTCATAATTGTATTGTTGATTTTTACAGATCAATCCTTGCAATATTAATGTAAGGAGACAAGTGAATGATAAAAAATATAAAAAAATAGTTTTTTGGTGGTAAGCTTTTGATTAATGATTATTAATTCATCCATTTTTATTAAAATTAGTGCCTGATTTTATAAATTTTATATTATAAACATGCATAGACAGGAGATTTTTGAGAAAATAGAAAGACGAGAGAAAAGCAAAAATTGCAGGGTAGAAGTGAACCAGCCAGTAACTGATGCGTTGTATTGCTTTTGACAGAACAAGGGAAAATGGAGGAAAGAACAAACAACGTCGTACTGTGGCTGAGCGCTAGGCAACCTGTTGCGCAAAACATTACAATTTACAACTGATGACTATTAACTCCACAGCCACCTATCTTCTTCTTCTTCTTCTTCTTCTTTCTGACCCCCCTCCAGGCGCCACCATTATTCTCCCCCATCTTCCTCCCACACACACACTTTCAGAAGCAACCAAGTATTAAGGGGAAAAAAGCAATTATGAAATTGAAAACCCATCATCATCCTCAGCCAAAGCTCAAAACTCAACTCTTCTCCTGCGGCTTCTTTCGCCACTGCGCTCAGAGCGTCCTCAGCCCCACTGGCGCTTCCCTTCCCCTTCCTCACACTCCTTCAACCCCACCGGCGCCTCCGCCTCCACCACCGCACCTTCATTCAAAACCAGAATGTGAATCCTCCACTACCTCCTCCTCCTCCTCCTCCGCAACCTCCCAGAGCTTCACCCAGTGGAGGTTCTCTCTTCCCACCTCCGCCCCTACTCCACCTCAGCCTCACACTCCTCCCCATGCCCACCAACCCCAGCCGTCTCCCCCATCTCACCACCCCATCCTCTGCCTCAACCTTCAAGAACTCTTCCACCTCTCCGAGCTCCAACTCAGCTCCGCTTCTGACTCCGATCGCCTCTCCGCCCTCCACCTTCTAGAGCGTTCCCTAGTCCCCAATCCACCCCAAGATCAGCCTCCATGTCCCCCGGAGTTGATGCGCGGGGTCATCTCCAATTTAAGAAATCCCACCGGGGCCAAACCCGCGACCAAGATACTGTTCGCGCTTTGCTTGGCCGAAGGGAACCGGCGCATCGCGGTGGAGGCTGGGGCGGTGGGTGCTGTGATCGAGTCGGCACTGGAGCTGGATGGGCCACCGGCGGAGAGGGCGCTGGCTGCGCTAGAGCTGATGTGTACGGTGACGGAGGGTCAAGAGGAGGCTAGAGCCCACGCGCTCTCGGTGCCCGTGATGGTCACGATGATGGGCAAGATGGGGGCACGTGGGAAGGAGTACGCTATTGGCGTTCTGGCAGTTATTTACAGCGGCGTGGTGGGAGATCAGCAGACAGCGCCGCCGGAAGAGGTGGCGCGTGCGGTGGAGCTTGCACTGCAAGGGGAATGCAGCGCGAGGGGGAGGAGGAAGGGGGCCCAACTGTTGAAGACACTGCATGATTACGGACAGCCTGAACTTACTACTGAAGAAGGAAGATAGACTCTTTATCATCTGTGGCTTTAATTAATATCGTCGAAGACTTCGCCGGCCAAATTGGAGGGCATTTTGAAACCGTCGGCTGTGCTTCATATTAACCGACCGTCTTGTTAAAACTGAATTTTTTGACCGCAGCTTAGTGTTGTTATTTATATGTCGTGTGTATTTGCCCCAACCCCAAGTTTATTTTCCTTCACTTTCCCCTGCCAACGTGTTTTAGTCTACTATTATGATATACATATTTTGTTGTTTCCAGCCAAAAGTGCGTCTTAGTTTATAATATTAAGAATCTTATTTATTTGAAACTAACCTAGCCATTATTTCTGAATATGATCGACGGATCTAGATTCCATGACTGTAGTTACTGTACACTCACTACAGTTATGGAATGACTTTAGACATTTGGTGAAATCCAAATTTTCTATTAAATTAATAATTTAGATGATCTTGTTATAACTAAGATCAGTTAAACTTAATCCAAACCTCCTCCTCCTCTTCTTCTTTTTTGCCGCGATCACTTACCTATTCCCTTCTATTCAGTGCCAAGATTAGAGCGCATTAATTGGAGAAGAAGAACAACATAGCACTATTTAAAGAAGTTATGAATTTTGAGTGAGAGATAGGGTAGAGATTTACTCCATGATATTATTTAGGAGATTTGAATGGATTTAGATTGAGTGTTTACTAATTTTAATTGCAACAAGATTATCCAAATCGTTGATTTAATAGAGAGCCCGGATTTTGCCACATGAGTAAAGTCATTCAATGACTTTAGTTGCTACAATCATGATATCCAAATCCTATTATCGACACCCCATATATTTATCAACCATCAGCATTTGGGTTACATATATGGTCACAGATTTTCTCAACTATATGCCATCTGTACATATATAATATGGACACTTTAAAAACATGCACAACTACAAACCAACCTGATTAATTATTAATAAAAAAAAGCTCTTTACCATTGAGAATGCAGACATGAAAGATGTATATATACACCAATGTAAAAGAACATGCACAGCAAGAGTTCTTCACCTCGGCAAAGTTGTGTGCCTGTATATATCAGGACGGCCGGTGAGAATTGAAGCTGTCTCCTTGATGTTGAGAATTTTAAACAGGAAGGGGGAAGCTTAACTATCGATTAGGTCTGTCCTGTGATACCAGTACCATCTTTATATATCTGTTTTTGAAAGAGATGGAAAAGTAAGCTGGATCGAGAAGCCGTACAGTATACAGTCATACACATCACTAGCTATGTATCCTGAAATATTAGCTATCTGAAGGGAGCAACGAAAAAACCATTTATAGGTTGAAGACAACGTCATTTTTCACTGTCGAGTTTTATATACTAGCAACCAGAAGAAGCACTAGCAGAGATTATGGTAGATACTGTTATGATAGTGGAATTCGAGCCTTGAACGAAAAAGGAACTGGAAGAAAACAATAAGGCAAAGGTAGTCCAAGTAACTTTATCTTCATTCTGAAATTGAGGGTGTCAGTTTCACGTGCGGAAGAGGTTGAGTTTCAGATATTTCAGAACTTTGTGTGTGTGCATGTCAGGATTTTTCTGAGGATGGTGGTGCAACACGCAGAGTACAGGGCTCCATTATTTGCTGTGCTGCAACTTTCAGACAACAGCTGGTGAGATTAATAGCTCTGTATGTAGAGCTTAAGAAGATAAATCCGTCTTCATTATAAGAAATCATCACTGTGTTGTAACGGGGTCTCTAACATTTGAAGTTAACCCAACTCCTTGTTGCAGATACTAGCGTGTATATGTACCTTCCTTTCACCAATAATACTTTAGCCAGCTTTGGATCTAATTAGTGACCAGGTCTTGTATCTTTTATAACAAATTTGATGTTGAAAAGAAGCAAATGTCCATGACAAGGGAAGGTGATTTCATTAATTATGACTATAGTTAATTGGAATTCAAAAGAAAGTATCCACAGGGTAGTGGGGAAGGGCCTATCTGTTTTGGGGACCACTTGCACGATCAAAGAGGCAGCGAGAGTTCTCAAAAGTTTGCACTCTGGGGAGAATCCTGATTCTAGATATTACATTATTACTTCCACGCTCGCTCACAGTCACAAAAGTTAAAAACCCTATTTCAAAGGACAAGTAATTGGTTCTTTGCTTCATGTACACGCGCGCGCATATGATATATCAAAGATAAAGGACGTCTTTTGATCCACCAGTGTATGACTGTATGCCTAAACACACACACATACGCACACAATTAATGTTATTATTATTTGTATTATTAAATAACCAATTGCGGGGTTTATATAATGAGGATTATGGCTTTATTTACGTTCTCGTCTCGTTAATATATTAATAATACAAAACAAGTAAAATGCTACTAATTATATGGCATTTTGAGAAGAGGCGATGAAATAAAAGTTAACGATACCGACAATTTTTCTAGATGAATCTGATATTAATAACGTGTAGTGTTTGATGCCGACCCTGGTTTTCATTTTCTATTTCCGATGGATCTCCTTTATATATAACATGAAGATGTATATGATCTATATACGTATTTCTAGCCGTTACATCTGATAACGGACGCAGAAAATGACTTTGAAACCGATCGAAAGTTTTGATATCCAAGGGATTTGATTATTTGTAATTATGATGAGTGGCGGGCATATATTCAATTAAGTGGAGAAAAGGGCAACAAAGCTTGATGTCCTAGCTAATTAATAAGAAGCAATAGAATGGTGCCAGCTAGGTGGTGGCAAAAATAACGATACAAAGCCATTCATCGTGGTAGCTGTAGTGTATACTGGTCATGCCTCTTCGGGTATCCTTCCCATACTGATGCTGTGGGGTTCAGAGAATATCTCTACCACAAGTTCCACCGATTAATATATATTCCCACTGAAGCCAGCTGCCTCTCCTGGCTTTACCCTTAATTACCACATATTACATGACATACATACGTAAGTGCCTATGAATGTATGATTGTGTCATTGAAGTTCTGAGGGATCTAATTTCTGGGATTTGGTCGGTTGAAGAAGGTGGCCATATAGGGAGGGTGCGTGAGGGTGAGACACGTGGAAGTGGCTCCTCGTGATCCATCTCGCGTCGCGCTCAGGCTTCAGAATAATCTCCACGGTATATGCCCTGATTTTGAGGTTTTGGGTTAGTATGTCATCTATATTATATACCACCTTTTTAACTATAATTTATAATGGCTAAGAAAATTCGTTGAATTAATTATTTGCAATAATGTGTCAAATATTTGCGCAACGCTTTCATGATTACTCTTGACATATAAATGAGATATTTTCACTAGACGAGTAATGGTTTTTTTACCGACAAAAATTATTGGACATTGACTCGGGATATTTTGATGAAAAAATATATTTAATGTAGAAGATAAAATATTAAAGTGGATGAATATATTCTTAATGAGGACCGAAAACAAAGCACTCGAAAGCGTCCTATGTTATGAACACACGGTGATTCTAGGCTAATAGATAACTGTTCAGCACGCAGACACTGCACGGGCACCAAATGACCAGTGGCTTCATGTGAGGGGGGCAACTGCCCCCCCTCTTATATGAGTAAAATTACATTGTCAAATGAAAAATTTACAACCTTCCCTCCCTTATTTTTAGTATTTTGAGCCTTTTAAATTCAATAAAAAAAATATTTGGGTCTGACTTTAAACTGTATATCAACTTTCTCAACATATTTTTGCCTAAAAAAAAAAAACTTTAATATATTTCTTCTCAAATATATGTATAATTTTACTTATGCTATTATATTTTTTGCCCTAAGTAATAATTTTAAAAAAATATGTAAAATTTTAAAATTATTTATTTTTAAATTATATTGTCCTGCACCGAGACTCAAGGTGTTGACTCTGCCACACTGCAAATGACTTAATATTATTAAAGCAATGACAAGAGTTTAATTATAAGGTGGGCTTCATACTTCTATATATAGCCAACATACAAGTAAAACGGACAAGCTGGGTAGCCACCACCCGATAGATATGTAATTAATCAATTTGAGTAGAGTTTGAATTTTGAGGGTTATGCAAGAGTTAATTCTGTCGGCACACCAACTCCTTCTTTCAAAGTAAGCTCCTTCACATTTGCGTATTAATTATTATTGAACATGTAAGATTAGGCGATTCGCATGCAATTAGCATGCCTGATTTTAACGAGTCAAAAGACAGTAAATATTCATTTCCAAAAAAAAGGAGAATGATAGATAAATCCTTGCGGAATAGGAAAATAATAATTGATCCTACAAAATATGATAATAACAATGAGGATCCAACGAAATTTGAGATTAAATTTCTGCATGAAATTATTTTAATACCCATCCACAACTAATTTTATATAATTCACAAATTAATATAAGTATTCACAAGTTTTAATTTTATCAATGATTAAAATAATTTAAAAATCACAGCTTTCTATTAATAAAATCTAACAAATTTTATATCTTATAAGCTTGATATAAATATTCGTAAGTGTAATTCCACCAATGACTTTTGAACACTAAAGTAATTTAATATAAAAATTTAATCTTTAAGAAATTCCTTTAGATCTCACTGTTATTCTCATATTTTACTGAACCAATGTCATTTGTAAAAATAAGAATTTATTTGTCATTCTCTTGGAGGTAAAAAGAAAAAAAGACAGTAAAATAAACGATCTCAGTTTCTGTACAGAAATTGGAAAGCTTCTCTCTCCCCTCTAATTTACATGTCTTCTTATATTTACCAGCATCAAGTGATAAATTAGATCATTTTAGTCTCGCGCCAGTCCATTTTGTTATTATTCACTTAATTATTTTTGCTGGGATTTGTACATCATTATTTTTACTCCTTCTAGTCCTTATTTGTTATGCTTACAAATGCTTTCATAGTCTTATATATAGGTTATATTGCAAAATGTCTAGATCGTTAACTCTTTTTTTCATACAAATACTCTTGCATTGTATTGAGAATTGTTTGATGACTTTCTCCTAAAAAATTGAGATTATATTTTTAACGAAATTAATTAAATGTGGACAATCTTAAAAGATAATGATAATTTTTTAAAAAATTAATAACGCAAACTAATTTTAATTTCCCTTTTAAATTTATATGAAACAATTAAGAAAACTCATAACGAGGACCAGGAAGAGCATAAGATGATTCTTGGAAGAGCTTTAATTTCCATGTTCTTTAATATTAAATCCTATAAAAAAATAGTGAAGCATTCATAAACTTTTTTCTTTCCTCCAAAAATGTCCTTCATAAATCTATCTATAATCAAATGTCCCTTTTCACCCACTGTTGTCAGATAAACAAGAGATCAGAATGATAACATACAATTAAAATTAGTTCTGGGACGTAGTAATAACTTTTCTAATTATTTTATGCCATTCGTTTCAATGAGCGTTGTACATAAAAATAAACGAAGCATATTTTGTACTGTCCGAAACAACCCCTTCCAGAAGACACACACACACACACACAAATACACAGTATACACAACAATGATGGTGCGGATAGTATGTTGTACAACACAGATCATGTAAACGGGTAGATCTTCAAATTTGACTAGGGCAGCGTAAAGCCCGAACGAATACTTATGTAATTAAATATTAGATGCAAACATCCGAATGCAGAGAAACATCTGGAAAACTACGAGAAACGTCAATGGTGGAATCGAAATGCATGGTACCAAGAGACTAATCGCTGATGGAGAGTTGAAGAAATAATGACTCACGCTAGCTTCAAGAAACAACCAGAGGTTCACGGCTATATTCGACCACGACGCACGTCCTTGTGGTAGGATCCAAACCAAAGAACTAATAATCAATGAAATATCTTATTCTACGAGAGTACTTTATGCATATATCCGCAACGTACAGAAAATCAGAGACCTTCAACGTATACAATTTCTGTGGGCTCTTGAGGGTTTCAAAAGAGATTATCCTTGTTATGTAATTACAACATTGCGTGTCTTGTATGTACTCATACATAATCTAGTCTGATTATTCATAACTTATGAAAAGTATATTTTCTGTAAATTTTATATCATACATATATAATGATCCGCCTTCTCCAAAAGTATCCTTAAAAAATATGAAGTACTGTATCAATCCAGTGTCCCACTATATTTACCTTCTTCATAATATCCTCATCGTAGCTGGCACTTGACTGATTAATGATTAAAAAAAAAATAGAGATTAACCCCATCTATTATATTCAGCAACACAAACAATCCTAATATGATGAAGGCGGTTTTATGAATGACAAGAGTATCATCACGATCAGCGCATTATCATACTTTTTTGGCCTAAATCAGAGCATTATACACACCAATTAATACTTTGCGCCTTCAGACGGACACATGAAAGTATTGTTCAGCCGTCAACGTTAGGGCATTATGCTGACGAGTCTTTAAACTCAAAATATCTAGCATCCTAATTATTCTCACACATAATCCCTATTTGAAGGAATATGTTGCCCAAAGTTTATGCATAACAATATACATAAGATATTCTTAAGAATTATGTGGTATATTTATGGCTTATTCTGTGCCTTGTAGCCTGGCCGTAGCTTTCCCTGTTAATGGACGATGAGGTTACACGTACCTGTTACCAGCGATACTAATAATTAAGAAGCGTTATTAAGATAAATGTACACAAAAGACGTACGCACGCGCTTGCGCATGGATATAAAAGTCGTGTAAGTATATTCTAATCTTAATTAAAAGGTAATATATAGTATAGGGTTGTCTGATAAAACCGTGGGATAGAAATTTCATCCGAAGAAAAAAAGAAAAGAAGTTGGTTAGTGGCTTTGGATTCCGAGATAAAAAATGGAAAAGGAAAAAAACAAAAACTGTAGAGCCAACTTTGCAGCGGTTGCTTATGCATTTTTCTACCAATTGGAGAAAACCAGAAGCTTCGTCCATCAGTCTTCGTGTGCCTCCATGTGTCCCCACCCAGTCCATTATAATTTCCTCTCTTCTGGGGCTGAGAAAATATCTATGCTTTTTGTTTAAAAAAATTCTCAAGAGACTACGTTTTCCCATATACCACAAGGGTCTCATGCACTCTCAGATCCTGAGATCCTTGTATTTTATGTATCTCAAGATATATTAATTTAGGTAAGGCTTCTTCAAGTCACTTTAGGATATTCAACTCCTTAATACTTCAACTCATAGATCCCTGATTATAGTAACATGAGTTCACACTCATAGATCGTGATTGTATTTTTTTTGAAGGTTTAGTATAGGATGGTGAGGCTTGATACCCTTAAGATTTTGGATGAATATGTTTCTAGGTAAGTGGTGGTTGTTCTGAAAGCGGAGATTGTTTTTAGATCGTGAAACAATATTAGACTCTTGATGAGTTTAACAAATGAAATAATCAACACATAAATAATATTTTAATATTTTATTTTGATCGGTATCATGGCATGATTTAATAAAAGTAAATTACATCATAATTAAAATAACGAGTGCTTATCCCGCACCAGAAAGAAACCCTGGCATATATGAACCGAAAAGCAGTTACATTATACTTAAGTAATAGCTTGAAGTGCCTAGATCACTATGGATTTTTGCAACATTCAAAGAAATTGAAGGGAAAGAAAGACTATTTCCAACAGAGCAGAACAAATAAATGTGAGCAATCACTTGTAGATCTCGCAACATTAATTGGTCAGCAAACGAATTGAAGTTTTGGTCCGTCTCGTGTGCGAGGAAGCAATGTGATATTCTTAAAGAACATGTTGATGCAAGGCTAATACACAATTTTCCTCAGCATACAAATATGGGCATCAAATAACTTAAATATTATTAAAACTGTAACATGAGGTTATAAGGCAGACTTCGTACTTCTATAATCAACATAAAAGTAAAAAAGACATGCTGGATAGCCACCACCTATCAGGTTCTACGACATTTCAATGTCCCTCGTATTCTTTCTATTTACTTGGCTTCAAGTTTTTCAGCTGTCTGCAACTATGCAAAGCAAGCAAGTCGAGCCTGTTCCTGGACGTACTTGCCTCTTCAAATTTCAATTCTTCGCCTTTGATCATATATACATTCCCGGGGTCCGGTACGGTAAAATCAGCAGGGTTTCTGTTGATGCTGCATATGTTCGAACCAGAACTTTTTCTCACAGGCATTGAGGTTCCACAAGTATCATGGACTTTGAATTGACGTTGCAGTGAAGTTTCCTTTTCAAGATATGGCCAGTTAAGCTGCTGAGCATTTCCTCTATTATGCATGGCTGAGCCGGAGCTCTTCATCCTATCTTTCATTCCAGACTTGGAGGGAATTCGACCATTGAAACTAGTAGTTCCCACAAATTTATCACCCTGCCCAACAGATGAGGATGCACCAAGCGTAGGAAAGCCAAAACAGCCATGTTGCTTCTCTGATGGGTAGCTTTTACCAAAATAATCAGACGATGGCCGTTTCAGGGAACCAACAAGGGGAGCCTTAGATGTACCTATCTCCAACTTAGCATGGGAATCACCGGGATATAAAGGCCTCTTAAGCATTTGAGCATTGACACTTGTATTGAAGGGTGTACGAGACTGCTTGCTTGCATCCATAAGGTTAAGTAAATGCATGGCAGGTATCGTCTCGTTGGAATACATGTGCTGAGATTCCCTTAGCTTTTGAAGGGGTTCAATCCCATTATGTTTGCAGGGAAATGGGTATTCTGCATTCATCCTGCTCAAGGGTCCGGGAACCCTTCCCCTATTAAGCTTTTCATAGTCAACAGCATTCAAATTTATACGGTTGATGTCAATATCCCTCTTCATGTTCTGCTTCTGCAAATCCTTTGTGCTCGTAGACTGGGAAATAACACTGTTTTTGAAAATATCATATCCCAGGGACACATGATTCGGAGTCAAGGATCCCCAAGCACGAGAAGCCTTGTCATCATCTTGTAAAATAGTTTGATGTAGGCTACATCCTCCCCGGGATTCCAACGCAGGATCAGAGGATCCACACTCTGCAGTAATCCTATTTAACCTATGATTTTGTGCACTACCAAGTTGGCTGGAACTTATAGGTGAAAAATGGAATACACTTGATGGCTTCATTTGGGGCTGGGAGACTTCAATCCCATAGAGGGAAGTTTGAGAGAGACTACTCAGATTCAATGGGTCGCCTTCAGATGAAGAAAAGCAATGAACAGAGTTTCTTTCACGGGACCTTGCATTCTTTCCTCTCATGACCATACTATCATCCCCACGTCTTTCCCTTGCCATTTCCTTCTGGTCACCTTTCAATAATCTATGTTCCCCTTTCCCATTTATAGTGCTGCCAACTTGTGCTTTTCTCTTGATGCTGGATCTTTTCAAGCGCTTTTCTTTTTTAGTATCAGGAAGACCCCTCAAGTACTGAAACTTAGCCATGAAATCTACAATGTCCATGGGTACGTCGTCGTCATCTTCCTCTTCTTCATAGTCATCATCATCATCTCCTGACTCCTGCTCAGAACCCGTGTCTGGTGCTTGATCATTGTATCGGTTAAATATACCCACTCGTTCTAGAGCTCCAGCAGTTTCTTCCATGTTTCTCGCACCAGTTATTTCCTGCAAGAGAATTATTATCATGAGCTGTGGTTCAGTACTAACATGTAACTAGAACTTTACAAGAGGAAATATTGCTACTACCAAGACATCATCAAAAACTTATTAATGAACAGCTAGTAGAATGCTAAGCAACTATAATGTGGCTTAATTATAAATATAGTTTGCTTGCCAATGAGTTAGACTAAAATGCAATTTAGCTTCATATGTGGCCATCTTATTCAAGTCAAAATGGATCAAGCTCACAATGGCAAAGTTCCAAGAAATTGTACAAGTACATACCGGAATAAAAGACTAAGCGCTGGCTCATACTCAGCTCACACAACAAAACAATTGCTATAAAAAATTTAAGGCAGGGGTGCAGGACTGATGGAATAACATGGAAACCATCAAAATCAATTTTCATCATGATTCCATGGTACTCTTAAAGACACAGAAAAAGAGAGGAAAAATCATAAAACAGATCATTGTTCAAACTGAGAAGAATATTTATGCTTTAAAGGGGTTTTTCTTAGCTACTTACTTCAGAACGAACTCTTTTTCTGGAAATATCATCCGTTATGTGCTCGAACGGAATGATTGGCTTTCCAACAACATTGGTTTCCCATTCTTTCCTTACAAACTGATGTGCTATCGAGGTTCCCTCTTGAGAAGGTGATGAGAAAGGTAGCCGATTTTCATTTTCATGGATACGTATTATTTTGTTGTAATCCTGTGTTGCCAAATAACTATTCAGAGAAAGATGCAGTCCCTCTTCCAGACTTTTTTGGATCATTAAACCTTCAGCAGAGTGATTTGGAACAGTTGGCGACATATTTGGCATTACTTTTTCAGTTTTATGTGCAAACGAATTTTCTACTAGCATGCCATTATTTTGGCAACAAACAGAAGGCAATTCTTGATCAGCTTGTAGCATCTTGCCTTTTCCTTTGGAAAATTTGGACTCATTTTCTGTTCTTGGAGCATGCAAAGGAAAATTACTCATCCCTTTCTCCACAAATGCAGGAGCATGAGCAAATTTGGAAGTAGTTCTAGAAGCACACCCGTCATTTGCAAAATCCATTCTGTCCTGATTTTGTTTTTGCTTCCCTTTCTGAGGCTCAGATATCAAGTGATTGCCGACAAATTGGATCTTTTTGTTCTTCTTAATATCCACAGTATGGCTTCTTTCAATTTCTGACTTACACCCGTTGTTCTTCACAAAATCTGGAGTATCTGTTCCAGCAAATACATCTTCAGATCCATTATTCAGAACAGGGTCAATGGTTTTTGTGTTTTCCTTCAAGTTTTCAAGTTCAGTCTCAACCATCTGCTCCTCATCCACAATAAACTTCCGTTTCCTACTCTGAGCAATTTTTGTCAAATCTCCTTGATCATTCACCTGACCCTGGTGAATTGAAGTACCTTCAAATGGGAATCCTTGTACAGCAATTTGCTCAGTTTTTGTCTCACCATTTCCACCTAATAAGTCAGTTAGCAGGCGCACCTTTCGAGGTTTCTTACGATGCAAACCAGTTGACTTTCCAAGATGTTCATCCTGAAATTCATTTTTGACCAAATTATCAGTACTTCCTGGTTTAGTTTCATGACAAGCAACTGAATCTGGTGGAGGCAGTGCAGATGTGTGATCGACTGTTTTGTCTGCCTCAGTAAATATGGTGCCTTTCTCCAACTCTGTACAAGCTTTTTCTGTCTCTTTCAGGCATTGATTATCAGCAAAAGCAGGCTTTCCTCCATCGCAAGTCTCAGCAGAACTCTTGCTCTTATCCTTGCGCTTGAGATTCCCCGTATCAAGCTCAACCTCAAAAACTTCTTTGCCTTCCCCACCTGTCTCAAAAATGCGTATGAGTCGATGTCTTTGAAATCATAATTTCTTTAATATCTAAATATATAATATATATATATATATATAAAGTTGTCACTTCAGATTAAAAGGATCATAAAAAAGTTACTGCTTGACTGATTTCATGCTCTCCAACTGAACCTACCTTTGTTATTTGTCTGTCGTTCCTGTCCCATTTCTTCACAAACTAATGGAGATGAAACACTAGATATTTGATGGTTGAGACCCTCCATACCAATCTCATTGTCTGGAGAAACAAAAAACATGAAATATCAAGCAAAGTATACTGTGAAAAGTGATCAAGATACTTCTGCAGAAATGAGGTTGAGTATACTTATTCTGCTTTCTTCAGCTTCAGCTTTCTTTTCTTTCTCATTGCTAAAGGCTATATGATCGTTTCCATTACCCAGGTTAGTTGAATTGTTAAGATCAATTTCCTTTCCCTCAAAAGTGACAGCAATTGGAGCTTGCTGAGCATCAGAATTGAGAGCTGCAGCACTACAATTGAGGTCTTTTCCCTCATCTTTATGACTGCCTTCAGAAGCACATTCTTGCTGACAGCTTTGACAACTTAATTTTGGTACATCAAATGGTGGGAGCAATGGTAATTGTTCAGACTCATTATGGTTGTCTAGTATTGGAAATGGCCAACACAATTTCCAGTCTTTTTGGCGAATTTCAGATACATATCCGCTGCATTAACAAGACATAAAAGTAATATGGCAACGAAATATTTTCTGAAAGAGAACCAAAAGATAATGAAAAGAAAAAAGATACAGCACTAGCAGTTCAAATTCAATATTTATCCCTAATTCACTGTAAGGAAATTTGTGCACGACTATATAGCATCTAGAACTTACACATTTAGGCATCATTCCATTTAATTCTTTATGATAGTCATCATCGCCACACAATTAATTCACTTCATGGAAGTTGTAAATCACATATATATTATATTGCTAAAAAAATATATCAAGATCGTCCATTTAACTAGGATAATGCGATCCAACTCCAGGCATTAGCTGTAAGATATAAACTAAATGAAGGCAAACAAAGACTACCTGATTTTCAAGCTCCTATGTCAAACATGTCAGACAAGGCTCTACATGCAATCTAAGAAATTATTAAAAGATAGTGATCTGACAAAATTAAAATAATAAGGGATTACCGCATTGAGAAATGTTCACATTTTCCTGGATCAATGCTCTGGTCAAAATAGTCAGTAAGGTCTATAAAGAGTGAATCAATCTTGATATATGATCTCATGAACTCGATCACAGTATAGAATCACTGTTAAAAATGATTCTTCACAACTATGCCTTGCCCGTCTCCAGCTAGAAGCACAAGTGTTGCCCTCTTCACAAACAATTTACATATTAGAATTTTAAATTTTAAAATTAAAAAAATAGAGTCCAGGAATTAAGTCAAGCTATCAATGAATAGCAGTGATCTATATAATCAATGACCAAAACCCAAAAGTATGGTAAAGCAGGCTTCTCAGTAAACTAGAGTTTATACAAAGCTGATAACAAATAAAAGCCGAAAGACAGGCTAATTAGACACTCTAAATTAAAATATAACCAACCAAATCTTCATACAAAGTGATTGGGCACATAAAATGATAAACATCAGCATTATGAGAGTACATAAACCCTAGCTTTCTCATCAATAAATCCAGTCAGTCAGGAGCTCAAAGTTAGTAATCTATCGTTCAAATTACAATACTATATAAACCAGGTCGCCAACCCAACCATCTAGGTTCACCCAAGGTTGGATACCAGGGACTAATAAGTCCAACCATATGCCTAGGGTTTTCTAAATTCCAAGGCAAAACCAATCTTCTTCCAACGCAAATATCATATCACTAAAATCAATAACCAAGAACCCGTCTTAGAAGTTGAATTTTAGATCACAAAACGATGCGCATCGACCCCCCCAATCAAACCTTAGGGTTCAGTGGACAGTACGATTCACCTCTCACCAACTTCGAAATGAGTTGATACCACAAGGACAACAATCCAGATAGCAGTCAAATAGCCAAAAAAGCGTGAAAGGGCCGCAATAAAGCAAAACTCAGCTAATAGAAAAAACAAAAACAAAGTAAAAGCCGAACTGGCCCAACTGCAACAGTACACTGATCCCCAAACCAACATCCAAGAATAGTCCCGATAAACGCGAAACCAATCACCAACTATAAAGTCAGAGAGCAAGAAAGAACAATTTGAAGAAGGAGAACTCACTTGAAGACGCAGCCCCACGATCCAATCCCAGGAAGGCACCGATTCTCAACGCCTCTTGCAAGAAACGAAACCGAAAGACGGAAAATTTGACGGACACGACATCAAGCTTGGCTCCGCAGTTGGATTTATCAGCTGGCCCATACAATTTTGAGTGCGAAAGACACGAAAACCCTAGAGAGAGAAGGAGAGGGATTTTCGATAGTTTCGGGGGGTGAGAAGGAACGTGAGAGAGAGAAGGTGAGATCTTTAATCCTGAGAGGAAGGTGATGTATTTGTTTGATGTACTAAAAAACGCCGTATCATGTCATAATCCATACATATAGAAATTGTTAAGAGAGAGAGAGAATGTCAGAGACAGAAAAGCATCACCCAATTATAAGACGACAAGTGTCAGGAATGTGCGGTTCTTATCACCAGCCATTTATAAATGCGCTGGTGGACGCGAAAGAAACCCTAGATGGGAAGGTTGGGGGAAAAATCAGATACGGTCACTTGCTCGTCGTTTTCACGCTCTCTACCCTTTTTGGTTCTCCATTTAATAATTTGTTCCTGTCCCGTCAACCCAAAAGCCTAAAGGTGCTCATGCTCTCTGCACATTAAAAGGTTCTCATTGGTGCGTGCTGTACACGGAATGTCCCCAAGAGTGGGCGTGGTTCCACAGCGATTTCAAACCCTAGGTTCCATTGTGGAGGGTGAAACGGAGGTGGAAGGGGGTACGTAACCCTAACATCTGCAACGCACATTCATTGGAAGAAGATAAGGTTGGCGCCCTGTAATGTAAGAGTTTTGAGATACTCTGCATGTTGTTATTTTTGGTATGTGTTTAAGTTGTGTAATATTTCGAATTCATGCCAAAGTGTACCTTTTTGTGCATACACTGTGTGTGCATTTCTATAGTTTTCTGAATCAGAAATTTTTAATTGGTATAATTATATTATACATGTATACCGTCTTGATGATTAGTAGCAAGGATGAATCCAAAGTTTATTAGGGGGGATTAATTGAAACTAAAATAAAGAAGAGGGCCAAAATCAATTTTAAACTATTTCACAAATGGACAGTAAAATTTTTATCATAAGGATATATGATATATGATATACGGAGAGTGGGGTCAAGAAACCCTCCAGTAGATCGATCCATCGTAGGGAGATGTAACTAATAAACCTGTTCTTACATGTGAAGAAAAATATTCAGTCTAATCTCTCGGGGTAGGTAGCATAATTATCTTCTTCCCCGTATCATACTACAGAGGACTAAATTTAAAGTTTTATTTACAGTATTCAATTTGGTTATCATTCTTTCATTGTACGTACCTAAGTTTTAATTTAATGAGAATTAACCAAACCTGGATATTTATCCGATCCTAATTCTCACAACAGTATTTTAAAATTACAGTATTATAAATTTGGATTCAGGAAATTTGTATATGCGCATGGACCAATGCAAGATTAGTCAAAGATTAGTTTTTAATGATGCAAGGAATTGGACGAACGGGTTGATATGCATTAATTAAAAAATGGACAGTTTGGCATGTTTTTGACAACTATAAAAATTACAAGTATATTTTTTTTTATTAACAAACAAATGAAACAAAATTCAAACATATATGTATCTTCTATTACAACGACCGAACAATTTTTTTTTTTAACTTTTCCTTCAGGTTTTGACATGTTATTTTAGTTAAATATAATAAATATCAAATATATATGTATCTTCTATTACAACGACCGAACAATATTTCCAATACCAGAAAATGCATCCAATCCATACGCGTCTCATCACTTCTCTTTGTGCTTGTTTTGGGAATTATAGAGAGAAGAATATTTGCTAACGCAGGAAAAGAACCGAGTCATCAAATCACCACAATAAATAAAACACTTCCTTTTCAGTGCTCAAGATAAAATAGTATGTGTAACAATTAACTTCCTCCGAAAGTTTCTTTGCTATATATGAGGATGAGCAAAATTTTGCTTCGAAAGCAGACAAAGGAATAAACCACTGTGGAGCAAGTTTCTTTATGGGTGACATTGACACTTATACGGTGTACTGATTTATTTCATATATTAAATTTAAACTCATATATATATGTATGTATGTATGTATGTATAGAGAGAGGGGGGAAGGGAGGAGAGAGAGAGAAATAGGGATCCCACTGATACAGAACATTCAATTTCATCTGCATTAAAGTTTAGAAAAGCCCAGAACAAAAACTAGTCACAAATTTGTTCGAGCTTTCACTCTATAATCATATACGATAATTCCTACGATTTTCTTTATGAATACTCGGTTTTCTTTTGAGAGATTATCATGTGATATTTGTACATTTCCTTGAAAGATATCTAGCCGGTGTTAATAATTTATTCCCGATATATTTTGCTTTTCTGTGACAGTGTACGAGATTGCGGTTGAATTTTGAGACGGAAATGGCGCATATAAATCTTAAGAAGTGGCAAGATCAGAGGGCCCTATTCATCATTATGCGTATGAATCCATGCGTACTAAAAAAGACTGCAACAAAATATTACAGTACCTGTCCGAACAACATGCCCTCGAATAAAATGAACCATAATTAACCCCGAAGGTTTCATTTTTTTTTAATGATTATATATATGGCGCAATTGATCTAAAAGCTTCGCTTCGACGAAACTTTAATGATTATTTGCATACATACGTGTCCAATGATTCTGATTCAAATCCCCTGTAAGATCGGTTTGATTATCACTTTTATCGACAATTCACTAAACGAAAAGAACTAATAAATTTCCAAAACCCAGGTGAAAAGTTGGCCAAGAATTAAATTTTATCTGAATATTATAATTGTTCGTCTTGTAACTGTGACAGATAGAATGAACCCTTGATCAATCAGCATATTTGAACAGTTACGTATGTATAACTCAAATTCACCTTTTGGTTCCGTTTTAATTGATTAGCGAATTAATGAATCACGCGCCAAGAAAGAAAGCATCGTTCACTTTTTCGTGCGGTGTCTGTTGTGTGTACGTATGTTACGTTACTAAGCCAAGCTATATATTGTGGAACAATCTTTCACTTTAGTGCCAAATACTTCACTTTAATCTCTGTTAATATATATATATATATATATATAGGATAAAGAAGAAAGTGTGAACACAGACACAGTGATATTGAAGCAAGAGTTGTGTGTTGTTTACTATAAAGTGCAGGATTTAAGATCTAGATTCCCCATGAATATATGGCCCTTTTTAAAATTAGGGCTTCTTCCATATTAATTTGTTCAAAAACCGTAAACCAATTTAAAAATGATAGTTTTTGTTTTTGGAGACGTGGAAGACTTCAGGAAGAGGAATAAATATTGTTCGTTTACCGGACAGAGAGACAGGCTTTGTCCCCCACCCACATTTCTTTAAACCTTCCACTCAATGTCTTCTTTTTCCTCTTTTGGTTAGTACAAACTTTCTTTAAAATTACTAGTTTAGTTATATCCTTTTTTTTTAAAATCAAGTCGGTTGTCTCTGACTAAATTAATCAAGAGATGAACTAACATCTTCGCAATGACGATTCTCAATTATATAATCACAAGGTTGCCAGTGCCAACCACTCCACTATGGAATGGCTGATAAAGTTGCGGAACCTAGTACGAGCTCTGATCGGGGACACATTCACTATCATATAAATTATTTTCACTTGTATAATTTAATATACTGTTCATCAGTATTATATATTAATTGATTAAATGCTATCAATTGTGCTAGATAACCTGTGATGATCTAACAAGTAAAATTTATTCGAATAAATATTTTGCGAGAGCTAGATCAGTCTGATGGTTTAAGTACTTACACGCGCACACACACACACATTAACCTAACAACAACAACAATAATTTAAAGTGATGAGGAGCATTTTAATATATATATATATATATATATTTATATATGACTGTCCAGAAGTAGACAAGGAAACCAGTAATTTTTTAGGGATGTCTGTGATTGGTCCCGTTCCATGGATCGATTAACGAATTGAATGAGACGGTATTATCAAGCATGGAACCTCGGTCATGTAAAAGAATGGCAAGGTATTTCCCAGCACCGATGTCAAGAACGTCGATCATGTCTCTGGTCAAAATTTGAACGATGTTTCCTGTGTGCGATCGAGAAGAGTAAGGTTATTATTTATGATGAGAGGTTGATTAGACACGTACAAATATCAAGTTGGGCTATAACACATAATTAACCGTGCTCGTTATGCAGTTCGTTTTTTGAGAAATCATGATTCATGATCTCGCTCTCAATGAAGGTCTCCTCCCACGTAATTCTGTAAGTGAATCAGGAATTAAGTAGAAAGAGAAGCAAAGTTTTACTTCAGTATCTGTATTCTGGGGACGTTCTGCAAGTTTCTGATGCTGTTTTGTGCTTATGCGGGTGTGTGTATCTCATTACCTACATATGGGTGGGTGTTTGTGTGTGTAAGATTAATCGTACTGATAAAACAAAATATGAACTTCTTAAGCACACAAAAATAAGCTGCACGTTGACGACATCATCAATTAAAGGCAAAAATAATTAATAAGACTAAAATACCTATCCATTTTGTAACTTATGCTTTTTTGGGGCTAATTAATTTTAACTTCTAACTTGGGGTCTCGTCTCTTTCCATGTACGATTATGAGTAGAAAGTGGACTTAATTATCATCATATTTGGTAACACGCTTTTGAAAACGGACAAGTCAAGATACTAGGTGTCAATTCTTTTCCCGATGGAAATTTCAATTTCAATTTAAACCATCGTCATATATAATATATAAAATATAAAATATACTTATGTTCATACACGGCATTATTTTACATTATTTGTACAGATGTTACGTAATAGGTTTAGTTAAAAAGAATTAAACTCAATTGAACTTTTTGTTAATTGTTTGAAAAAAAAGTTTGAAAAAAAGTTCAAACCCAAATCCAACTTCACATAAACAAAGTTGAACCTCAATTCCATCTACAGTAAAAGCGAGCATGGGGAAGACCAAAGTGACCGACCCAAAAGTGTGTGTGGAATATTGGTGATCAATTATCGGAATTTAACTCATTTAAGTTATCACGTATTTGAATCTATATGTATTTAATTATATCGTTGCGATGAATTAGTTGTATTCGTATATATCCATTATATAAATCAGCTCCCTGCAAATACACTGATTTGCCACACGAGGTTTGCATTCACCTAAAGATTGTTTAAAATACAATTAGTCTTAAATAGGATGGATGTGTAAGATAAAAGGTTTATATCTCTATTTTTA